GGGGGGGGGGGGGGGCGCCCCCCTGCCTCGACAGCCCCTCAGGAAGGGGTTCCCTGTTTGTCCCACAGCCCCAGGGCCGCCGGACACCCCTCTTCGGTCACCACGGCATCCCCCGAAACTGCTCCGTGTCCCTCCAGAGTGCAGAGGCACCTCCTGGGGCCATCCTGCCCCAGCTCTGTCAGACGGCTCGGCACCTACAGCCTCGTTTCCCCCGTTCCTTGTCACCACTGCCGAGAGCCGTACCATGTCCGGCACACAAACACAGCCCGCCGTGCGAATTCAGCCCCCAGCCCCGCACCTCCTCCTCCCCTCCCCTCCCTGTCCCGTTCTTTGCCCGTTCCCCTTGCATCCTTCCCCGGCTCCTGTGCGTTGTCCCCACACACCCCTGGCGTGTGTGTGCTCTTTCCCCGCAGCGTAAGCAGTTCCTGCTGTCTGCTGCCTTCACCCCACATCGCCCCCGCTCAGCCGGGCAAGCGCCTGCACGGGGAGTAACCATGCCCTGTTGCATCGGGTACAGCTCAAAGACAGGGCCAGGAAAAATCCCTGGACGTCCCTTTGGCCGCTAAGAAGGGATGGCCAGGAGAAGCAAGTTTCTTGTACATATGAGATGTTTTATTGAACAAATGAAATCCCCCACTGATGTGCATCTCCCAGCTATCACACTGCACCTCCCGAGTTTTTCTCTTTGAATGTGTGCCCTAGGCTTCCCCGGGCAGCCTCCCTGTAAGCTTTCCTTTACAGGACTTCTCCTGCCTTCAGGCAGTGGGACCAGCAAGGCTCCTTCCAGCCCGCCGGTGCCTTACAGCCCAACCCATTCATCACAGTGATTTAAAGAGCATCAATTTGATTAATGATTTAAATCAGCAAGCAGGAAGCCTTAGCTCTGTCATTGATTTTTTATCTCTGTTGCATTTGTGCTTTTTACCTTTCATTATTAAAGAAAAGCCATCTAGCTTCGGTGGCTTGCAGGCTGGCATGACCTTTGCTCTGAATTTGATAATTGTCCTTTGATAACCAGGAGGACATGCTGTGCTTATCCCATTTATTTTAGCAATAACTCACATGTATTGAGATAGGCTGGTTTTTGTAGATTTGTTATGTTACAGCGAATGCCAGCTATTCCTGGTGATAACTTTTTTTCCTTGGCATGTGTGTCAATCTGCGTTGAGATAAAAAGTGGAATTTCATTTGAAATGTATAAACCCCGCATCTTTATTATTTATCAGTTAATTTCAGCAACCTTGAATGTGAACACAACCATAACAGGAGAAAAAAAGACTGTAAAAACAGTAACTGATATATGAAACAGCAGAGTATCTTTTTGCGGTGAGTGAATTACAGATTGCTGCTGCTCAGGAGGAGCCAGATTTTTTAGCAGTGTGATAGTGCAGATAGATGGGTGCCTGCCCCATGGGGGTGATTTGGGCTATTTTATTAAGAGTTATGTCTCTGCATCTCTGGAGCCTAAACACCATTGAGAATCCAGCCCCACACCCTTCAGGAATTTAATCCTGTCTGGTTTGTACTCGGGGCAGAAACCATGCTTTCCTATGTTTGCAATGGGCATTGGGTTTCTCACTTTCAAATGATGAGTTCTAAGTGAGGGACTTAGTATCTTGGCATCTGTCCAAAAGCGAAAGCAGCCAAGGCAGAGTCTCTCCTCTGCACGCCAGGAATTCAGAGAAACTCAGGGAAGGATGAGTACAAGTTGTAGCTCCACTGGAAGAAAGAAAAATGTCAGCAGCCCTGCTAGTGGCTCTGATGGGGGCTCCAGGTCCTGCCTTCCCCTGCAGCTGCCTGCCCGCTGCTGTGGGGTGGCTGGTCTCACCTCTGGATACACAGTCTCTGGGCAGAGGCAGACAGGCAGGCGAGCTGTGTGCAGGGCGGTCGTGCTCCATTCCCCCAGGGCGGGATTGTCATAACCACTGCTTTTTGGATGTGTGGGTGTTGACAGCTCTGTCTGTGCCACCAATAGCGGCTGCGGCATGTGCTGGTGTGACACACTTTAAACCCAGGCTGACCTCCAAAGAGAGAGGCTCCTTGCCTGTGCTGCTCCTGTTAAACTCCTTGAGTAAGTGTAATTGGAGGATGTCTCAGTGATCCAGTGTATCATTTTCTTTCCCCCTTATTGAAGTGATTTTAGTAGGCTGTAGGTAGTAAATACATTCAGCCTGAAGCAGGATGAATGAAACCCATTTTAAAGCGCATAGTGCGCTCTCTCGCCATGTCTGGGGTGCTGGTCTGTGGGCGAAGTGCCTGAGCATCCTGGCACCCTGGGAAGAAAGCAAACACTCTGGGTCCCTGGGGACCAAGCAAAGGGCTGCCACGGCTGCCAGCATCCCTGCAGTGTGATGCCCACAAAGAACCTTGCCTGCTTCTTGCAGCAGGAGGAGGTTTGAAGAGGGCTATCTCACCTGGAGCATCTCTTTCTTCTGCTGTGAGGACAGAGCACCTTTTCCCTTCCTCCCCGCGGTCCTGGACTTCTTCGTGTGTCCTCCCTCCCCTAACCAGCTCTCCTCGCCCTTGTTTCAGGGCTGCCTGAGGATGTGTCGCCCCTCAACCTGGCCATCATCTTGGGGGTGCTGGGAACCCGCCTCACCATCCCCGTGCCACCCTGCTGGGCTCCGGACCTGACAAGTCCCTGCCCTCCTCCGGCAGGATGGCCCAGGCAGGGGGACCCGTCCGCTTCCACCCCAAGGAGGGCTGTGCTGCCTCACCCCCACCATGTACCCGCAGGGTGGACTGGAGGCCCTGGCTGGCAGGGGGGAGCCCAGAAGCCAGGAGGCACAGCCCCCTGCACTGCCTCACCCCCAACCTCAATGCTGGCCGCCTCCACCTCCTGCGCAAGGGCCTGGCCCAAGATGCCCACCATTGCCCCCTTGGCCTCTACAACAGCACTGGCTCCTTGGCCCGCAAGCCGGTGGAGGTGGCTCCCTTTGGCAACGGGAGCTGCCCAGGCATGGGGCGCCTGACGGCCCCCAGCACCCCACGGCGGGATCGGCCCAGCCCCGTGCTCTCCTCCCTGGGCAGCCGCAGCCCACTGGTGGCAGCGGCCCCAGAGGGACACAGCTCTGTCGTCACCTTCCGCTTCATCGAGAAGGCCAGTGTGCGGACCCTGGGCGGCCTGCCACCCCCCCAACCCTGCTGGGAGAATGGCCCCCACAGCCTCAGCCGCAGCCTGGAGCTTGGTGGGGATGCGGGGTCGCACCAGCCCCTGCCCCTGCCCCAGGAGCGGCTCCTGCGCACACTGAAGCTGGAGGCCTCGCTGTCTGACCCGCTCCTGGCCGGTGGCAGGACCCCAGGAGGGACACATCCCTGCAGGAAGGAGCCCTGTGCCCTTGATGCTGACTGCCTCTGCCACTCCCTCATCAATGGGCTGCCAGAGGACTTCCCTGCCTTCACCAGGAGCCCCCTGAAGGCAGAACCCCGACCCCAGGTAGGTGCCGGGGTGTCCCGTACCAGGCATGGGCTCTGCCCCAGAGTCCGTTGCCCACTTACCACTCTCCCCTCTGCAGGGCAATGCCTGGCCGTACCCCCGGCAGAGCTCGGCCCATGCCCAGCGCATCGCCAGGGCCAAGTGGGAATTCTTCTACGGCTCCTCGGACACCCCAAAGACAGGTAAGAAGTTGCAGGGGGATGCCCTCGCCTGGACCGACCTCTCCTTTGCAAGTCTGAATCGCTGCTGGGACTCCCCCTGGGGGGCTGCCCATCCCTTGGGACTTGGTGCCCACCGGACAGCTGAGATCCTCCCCCAAGATTGACCAGTTTATGTCCACCTGGGGCCAGATGCTGCTCGCATGAACCTCCCCACAGAGTCCCCTGTGGCTGTGCAAAGCCTTGTGCCAAGTGGGTGACGTAGAGCCCTGACCCCTGGCAGCCCCTGGCTGCCTCTGCAGAAGGGCTTTGGTGTTCGGATGGGGGCTCAGGGATGGCTGCGGGTGCACTAGCACTGACAGCACCCTGTCTCTGCCTCTCTCACCCTTTTTCCTTCTGGCTCCCCCTCTCCTTTCCCCTGTGCCCATCACATGTGTGACCCCACTCTTGGGGGGGGTGTGTGTGTGTGTGTGTGATGCTGCAGGAGTGGCTCCCCAGCGCTCCCCGCCGCAGCTCCCCACAGCTCTGAGTGCTCGGGGCTCCCTTGCAGGCTCCTCTGCCCCTGACTCCGCTCCCCTGGCCAAGCGCCCCCAGAAGCCTGTCCGCCTGCTGCCCACGGAACCGCCAGGGTCAGTGCCTGAGCACAGCCTGAGCCACGTGGAGGTGGAGATAGAGATGTCTCCTCCGGGCAGCCAGAAGCCTGGCTCCTGCGAGACTGGGATCATAAGGAGGACAGTGAAGTACTCTGAGACTGACCTAGACACCGTGCCGCTGAGGTGCTATCGCGAAACCAACATCGATGACATACTGGCTGAGAAGGAGGAGGTGGATTCAGCAATTGAGAGCCAGAAGGACAGTGAGAGCAATCCAAGTTTCGGGGGCACACCGGGCAGGAGGAACAGCACACCGGAGGAGGCCCCCGCCCTGGGCACCAGCTTCCCAAAGGACGAGCTGCGGGATGGGGACATGGATGACGACGATGAGGTGTTTGAGGCGACGAGGAAGGAGAACAGGGAAAGGTGAGGCTCTGTGCATGGGGGCAAAAAGCTCCTCTCGCCCTTTTTATTGTCCCCTGCATGGCAAAACAGGCTCTGCCAAAAGAGTGGCTGAGCTAAAAATCCCAATGGCTCCCTGTGTGCTGTGAGTGGGGGGTCAGATGGGGTCCTGGATCGCCCTGCTGGGATTGGGACTGGGTCTGAGACTGGGAGGGGGCCCTCATGGCCCTATGGAAAGAGGAGGGCAGCACAGGTGATGCAGCCTTGCGCACTGCACTCCCCCGGGGTGAGCCCTGCAGCTCAGGTCGCTCGGCTGAGCCGAGGCCTCCCGGCGCAAGTCCCGCCAGGTTAATTACATACTGCCCCGGTGCTGTCGGGTGTTGGGGTGATGGTGTCAGGGTACCTGAGCCCAGACAGTGCCCTGGAGCTGCTGTGTGCTGGCAGGCGCTGCCGGGCTGCCTTCCTCTCTGCAGACGGCTCTGCTTTGGCGCTGGGAGCGGTCCCTTTTGCTTGGCCTCAGTGGGTATTTGCATTGTTTGGGAAAGAGTGGGGGATGTGTTGGGCTGCAAAAAGCCTTTTGTTGCCTTTTGTGTCGTTTTTCACTTGTGTGGCAAAACACCCTGTGCTGGGAGGCTGACGGAGTGGGTGACAGCATGGTTATCGTTCAGTTAAAGCTAAAGGCCATCTGAGCTGCCATCTGCCCTGTGTCAGGCACTGGCAACTAGGACCTATGGGAGATGGCATTTTGGCCTGGTGGCACAAGCCTCTGCCCATGGAGCGTCCTCTGGAGTGGTAGTTTGACCATGAGAAGTGACAGGCGTCATCCGCCTACCCCAGGAGGCATCAGGAGGGGAAGGAGCTCTAGAGCACTGTGTGGGACAGCCACCTGGAGAGGAAAGGCCCTGGCAGGGAGCGGAAGATGCCTGTGCAGGCAGCAGCAGCCAAGGGCAACTCCTGATGTGTATTGGCAAAGAGTCTTGGGTGAGATGAGGGGGCTCAGCACCACCATCAAGTGCTCCACAGGAGTGGGGAGAGGTCTTGCCTGGGAATCGCAAAACCAGGGCTATGCCTGGGATGCTGCATTGCAGCATGCACTCACCTAGCTGTGCAAAAGGCAGGCAGGGAGTATTTAAGTGGAAGAAAAGGAAAAGGGAGGTTTGATGTTGGCAGTGGGAAAAGGTAATGAAGATATAACCCCCAGTGGTGCCCCTGCACTGGGAAGGAAAAGCACAAAGGTGCTGGGCTGATGAGGAGGGAAGTTGTGCATCTCAAGGGGAGCTGTTGCATCTCTAGTGGAGGGGATGGATACATCTCTCCCTGCCACCCACTCTGTCTTCAAAAACTTTGGGTTCTAGAGAAAAGTTGAAAATAAGTCATTTTTTTATATATTTTTTTCTAAATGAATAGTGATGGAAGATTTGAGTAAGATATAAAATTATTATCACTGCAAGCAAGTTCTTCAAGTTACTGTAACAATTATCTTGCACAATGATATTTTATTTCCAAATATGTACTAGGCCACTACAAGTCTTCTGAGCTGTAAGCCTAGACCTGCTTTTTGCCCTCTGAGACACCTTACTGTAGCTCCCCAGACAGCTCTGAAAGCTTGGATGTATCCTTAAATGCATTGCTGCCCCTAAAGACAGTGCTCCCAGTATAATTACCAATGTGTATATAGGGGCATCATGTTCATTTTATGTGGCTTCTTTGTGGGCCAGTGGGTTTTTTCGCTTTGCGGGCCCCTGAATATTCCCCAGGTAGGTGCAGACCCTGCAGGCAGCATCTTGAAAATCACAAAGCTCAAACCGTGAGCTTGCTTAGTCGCTGCATTACGGCCCTGGTTTTTGCTTACGCACTGTTTCTGTGCTCTGCAGCTGCAGTCCTCCTCCCTGTTTACCAGTTACTAGTACTGATGTTTTCTACTTCAAGCTTTCTGCTTTGCCTGCTCACAGGAGGGTGATGCTGGGGTGATTAAGAAGCCCCCCGGGCTCCCTAAAGCCAGCACCATTCTGCTGCTGCAGGAGCTGCTGTACCCCAGGCCTGTCCTGGTAGCTGGGAAGGACCAGCCCTACAAAATTACTGAAGCACCTTTGGATGCTGATTTGCAGCATTTAGATATGTAAATCCCTTTGAAAATCTAGCCTTAAGGATTTAGCACCCTCTGCGAGGGAGATTTTGGCTTGGTACTATCTTGTTGTCCTTCATATTCTGGCCAAAGGGCATCTTCTTTGGTGATTTACCCTCCCAAAATAAGAGCGTGCTAACAGCTAAAAAAATGCAACACCAAATCAAATGAGACATGGAAAGTGACAGAAGAAATGGTGTCTTCTTCCAGCAAATCCACTCCCTGAATATATTTAGAGTCAGATCTACTGATTGTAATGACTAGTCTAAGCATTTACTGTCTTTATTCCCGTTAGTCCTGGAGAGCTGAGACCTGTCAGTGAAAGCAGGCTCAATTCCCTTCCTCCTTGAGCATCAACAGGCGTGCTGGCTAAGCTGGAGGCAGGGCCCAGCTTGGCCCGCAGCATGGGTGCCTTGGGCTGATAAGAGAGAAGAGGCTTTGCTGGGGGTTGCCCCACTCCCCCCAGAGCATGGAGGACTGGGGGGAGGCAGAGACGCCTTTTCTCCCTGCAAGCACAGCAGTCTTGCCTGGAAAAGCCCTTGGATCTGCTACCTGGGGAGCCTTTCCAGAGGCTTTGTGCTCACTGCTTGGTGGCGAGAAAATAGCTGCAGGGCAAGCCTTGTTGAGGATTAAAAAAATGGTTATGGCCCTGATTTCGTCAAATGCTTAAGCATGTGCTTAACCTGCCACGAGCTTCTGATGTGTTGTGCTGAGGCTGAGCCTCTGTCCCAGAGCCCAACGTGGCCACAGAGCCGCAGCTTGGGGTGATGCTCCTGTATCCCACAGGCTCGGGCTGGAGAGGGGATTCTCAGGGTGACGCCGGCAGGCACCTGCCAATGAGCTGGGGAAGGTGCCTGCAGCTCGTGGGGGAGGACTGGCAACAGCGTGGCCCCGGAGTGATGGCGTGGATGTGGCAGGGGAGTGTGGGCAGCTGGGAGGGGAGACTGCAGTGCCTGTGGTCAGTACTTGTGGCTGAGCATGGGTTGGAGTTAGGACACTGAGCCCTAAGAGCAGGCAGCTGCCAGGCTGGAGATGTGTGAAGGGACCTGGAGGGAGTGCAAGGAGCTGCTGGGGCTGGTCTGTACAAGAGCTTTGTTCAGAGAGGAGTAAAAAGTGAGGGGCTGCTGTGTGGTGCTGTACGGCCTCACCTTCTTCGGGCTGAGCTGGGACCCCTGCACAATGCTTGCCATGTCCGTGCAGGCAGGAGGAGTGGGGCATGGCTGGGGCAGTCAGGAGTCTGGAGGGTCACAGGAACATTGGGCAGAGAGAGAAAACTGTTGAGGGCCTAAGGAGAGAGATTTTCCCCTCTTCTCCCCCCTGTCGGGGACAGCACAGCTCTGCAGCACCAGGCAGGGACAATGGGGTAGGCCCCTTCCCCTCCATCAGCCATCAGATGCAGCTGCTGAAGCCCAGTTGCCCAGACCCCCGCGGTCCCTGTGGGCAGACCTTCGCCTGAAGTGCTGCTGGCTTTGCCACTAATGTGCAATGCAACGTGGCCATCGGCTCCCAGGATCTGCTTCTCCTCCATACCCACCTCTCTCAAGGAAGGCTCACTGCCTCTCCCACCCCAGCTCAGGGCTGGAAACCTGTTTGCTTCCCTGTTGCCTGTCACCCTTCTGTCACCCTTGTGCAGATGTTCGATTACAGCCTCTGTGTCTCCTCCCTCCTCTGCTCTTCCCAGCTGCGTTTGTCTGGCTTGGTGACAGTGCAGTGAACCTTCCTGGGGGGCTGGAGCAGGCACGGGGGGCTGGGCAGCACAGCGGTGGCTGATGAAGCATCTAGGTCCAAGCAGGAGTGGTGTCTGCAAGCAGCATTGTGCCCATGCTGCTGCAACTGGATCCTTCTGGAGCTGAACGGCTTTGCGCTTGATATTTTGGGGTGCAGAGATTACATCCAGAGCTTGGATAGTGTGGACAAAACCAGCTGTGTTTTCTTCTGTGGCTTGGTGGCAATATACTTGGTCACAAGAATGAGCCCAGCTCCCTCTCCTGGGAACAAGGTCCCTTCCATCTGGTGGCATTGTCCTCCCCAGCACAACCCGTCACCCTCCTTATGGATTTGAGGCGCAAAACAAAGTCAGTGGCATTAGCTCGGTTTAGTAGCACACAACTGGGTGGTGACGACAGTGACTGCATGTTAACATCTGTAAAGCTCATCTGCAAGATGTTAAAGAGGTCTATTCTGCCTTGCCCTCACCAGAAAGCCACCCCAGAGGTGGCTGCTCCTTGTGCTCCTATGGGAATGGTAAGAGCATCAAGCGGTGCAGCACAGTCAGGGAAACGCTGGTGGGTGAGAGCAGCCTCCACCCTGCCTTGCTTACCTGCATCTGGCTTTGCTGCCCCCCCCCTTGAAGCCAGCCGGCACTCTGGGGGAGTCAAGCTGCCAGCACTTGACCTGCTGAAGTAGTCAGGGTGAGATTTTTGAGTGGTATGTGAAGGCTAATGAATGAAAATCATTTGGTGGTTGTAACAGCAACGCATCTTCTGAGCCCTTTGTACGAAGCTGTTTGTTCATAACAAATGTTATGACAAGCTGGAGCAGTTCCTTTCCTTTAATCAGAGGTGCTTTTCTGCTGCTTTAATAAAATGATAGCGGCTTATGAGTAAAGTAGGCTTTTAGGGCTGTGTTCATGTTTGTACAGCTGAAGCATTGATGTTCCCTGGGTTGGAAGTGTGCCTGTCGTCACGTGCTCAGACGGATGGGCAGGCTGCGCTTCACCTCATTTACAGGACAAAACACTCAGGGCTTCAGGGTTTAGAAACTCCTGTGTTGGACTGGACCCAGACCTGCATCGGAGACAGGCTGGGCCTTCCTACGGGGCTGATCCCTGACAAGATGATGAGCCAGGACCAAGCCTGGCCTCTAGGACATGGGCCAGCTCAGGTCCCTGAGTCCCGAGCTGGGTGTGAGACTCCTTCTGTACTGCCTGGGGAAACCTGGGGCTCAGCACTGCCTTGTGCTTGGTCCCAAATGTCTCCTGGGACTCAACATTGCCTTGTGCCGGGTCCCAGACATCTCCTGGGACCAGCCAGCAGACCTTGCAGGTGGGTATTGGTCATGCTTTGAGTGTGGTGCTCAGCAACCATGGTGCTGCATTCATGGAGGAAGGTGTTGTGCTGTCCTGAGCAGCTTCAGGAGGAGCCTTCTGGGTGCCAGGAGCTCTGAAGGCTCATGGAAAATTCAGCCACTTCCAGATTTGGTTGGAAATGGAGCTGAACCACATCCTGCTTCTGGTGCTTGAGCCCTTTATTGGATCTAAACTCAAGTCGAGTGACTGGGAGCAGTAGCCATCTCATAAGCTTCTTATGAGGATGAGCCACTAAAGGAACAAAAGTCTGTGGTGCATTAAAGGAGAAGCATATGTCTGGAGTGAGGCCAGCCCAGTCCCTCTTCCCATGATGTCCTGGGGAGGCAAGGCGTTTCCTTGGAGGTCTACAGATGTTCAGAGGAGATTTCTGCCCTCCCCAGTTTCCTTCTGAAGCAGCGCATGGGCTTTTGTTTCAGGGCTTTGATCCCTTGCTCCTCACTGACCAGTTCTTCTCTCTTTCCCTCTAGGATCATGGACCGAGACATGCAGGGCATGCTCAAGTCTCCAGTGCCCTTCCTCCTAGGGCACAGCCTCTCCAAGGATGGCATGGACTCTTTCAGCAAGCATTTTGAGAGCATCATGGAGTCCCATCGAGCCAAAGGCACATCTTACACCAGCCTGGACTCCATTGACATCCTCTCCTCCCCAGCCCGCACCCATGGGACTGTTTTCACTTTTGACCTCCCAACCCTCACCCCAGAAATACAGGGACAGATCCGAGACAGCGCCAAGCTGATAGAGGAGAACTTTGCTCCTCTGGCTCACTTGGAGCCAGACTCTGGGACCAGTTCGGCCACAGATGCCCCCTGGACCGAGAGGGAGGAGGAGTGGGGGAGACGAAGAAAGGGTGCTCGGCACAGCCCTTGCCACTCAGAGGACAGCTTTGGTACTCCCTTGGCCTCCTCCAACATGAGGTGAGTGACCAAAGTTGCTTGGGCCACCAAAGCTCAGTGTGGAGTCTAACCCTGTGTGGCGTGTTTTGCAGCCAGAGCCTAACCTCTGTTTCTGGGGAAGAGGGGAAGGGTCAGGACTGGGTGTGCTGGATTTTCTGTGAAGTGACCGATAAGGCCAGTGATCACCACGGTGTTGTGGTGGGCATGTAGTGGGAGCGCATCTCCTTTTTCATCTTTGCCAGCTTTGTTGGTGCTGGAGGGCTGTGAGGTTTCCTCCAGCCTAGCAAGCAGGGAGTCCCAGGACTTCAATCCCATGGTGGCTTCTGTTGCAAAGCAGTCCAGCATCCATGGTGACTGTGGACAGAGGCCAGTCAGAAGTCGAGTACCAGTAGAAATATGAGTACCCTCCCTCCTGGAGGCCAAGACTTCCTGATACTGCTGCATCCCTTACCATCCGAGTAGGAGCCTCCTGTTTCTTGTCGGGAAGAGTCCCATGGTCTTGTACCTATTGTCCTGGCCTCCTGAACCTGCTCAGCCTTGTGTATGTTGGGAGATGGAGGGCAGAGATGAGCACAGCCCACCAGAGGCTTCCTGTATATTGCTCCGTGCCTGCCTGCATGTGGGCTCAGGATGGCTGCCCCATGCCTGGGGCATCTCTGGTGGAGAGGGCTGGGGGAGCTCAGCCCCACCACTTCTAACCTGTCCCTATGTGAGACCATGTCCAGGCTGAAACACTACCTTCCTGCACTCCTCCCCTTTCCAGAAAGGTCTTGGGCTGAGGCACTTGTGACGTGGCAGGTGGGCAGGCCGCGTCTTTTCCCTTTTCCAGGGTACATTCATCTGGAGTGTGGTCAGGTCTGGTCTGGATGTCAGGTTGGTCGAGTGGTTCAGCAGCAGAGCTGGTGGCTCTTGGAGAACTTGGTATCTCAGTCATGCCAGCACTGACCTTCCTGTTTGCGTTGCCTCCCTGCAAGGTCTCTCTGCCCTTCTGCGCAATGCCAGAGCTTCCTGGATCGCTCATCCACTTTCTAGGCTTTGGTCTTTTCCACACCAAAATTTTTTGGATTTGGTCTTTTCCAGACCAAACCTATGTCACTTCTGGTCACAACCTATGCCATCCTTGTAGGCTCAGCTTGGGATGGCCAGGTGGGGATCTGAGCTCTGTGTCTTTGGTGTCTGCAGTCAAGAGAGGAGAGTGGAGTATCACATCTGCTCTGTGGTCCTTGGATCACTCCAAGGGCATTTTGGGGCAGAGAGATGCCAGGTTAGGCCTTCCCTTTCTTTGGGACACTGAAGCCAGGGACATGGCTCGGTGCCACCATGGCACAGAGGCCACAGAGGCCAGGCAAGGTTTGTGCAGTAAAACTGATGATGTCTGAGAGGCACAAGGCAGCAAAGGGTGGCAGTATCCAGCCATGATCAGTGCTCTCTGCAGGAAGCATTGGCTTCCTATTCCTCTGCGAAGGCAAGGGACTGAAACAGAGCACCCTGGAGAAAGCGAGAGGACAGTGTCCACAGGGTGCCATTGTACCACAGCAACACTACCACAGGGGCACAGGGAGGTGTGAGGGTGCAGCTGGCAGCAGCAATGAGGTGGCTTAATAGAGGTTTTTCCTCACCAGTTTATAGACAGTGGAGCGTAGAGTGTGCTGGCAGTGCCGAGGATGCTGCAGCACTGCACTCCCCTCCTAGTTCAGGTTTCAGAGCAGCACTGGGCTGTGGCACAGGCCATGGAGGAGTGTTGTGTCCCTCCCCAAACTGCCCTGGATCTTTGCTGAGCCCACCTTTGCTGAGCTTCTTGTCTTCTCCTCTTCCAGCCCTCGCAAGCAGGAGTACCTCTGCTTTTGTGGTAGGGAACGCAGGGGAAACCCAGCTGCAGTCCTCACTGCACTCCCTGGCCTGGGGACCCTGAGGCTTGGGCTTTCCACAGCACCATGAGCACCAGCCTTGCCTTCTGTTAACATGCATATGGAGTCCCAAGCAACTACCTTTCCCCATTTAGAAATGATTCCCTTAATTATCTGTAGGTCTCTGCACAGCTCTTCTCTTAGTCCCATTCAGGCCCTGTTTCTTGCCCATCTCCTGGGCTGCATGTGACGTTCAGACCCACCATACTACCCCACAGCAGGTGAGCAGGTGCCCTGGCTCCAGCAGTGACCTGAAGTGGAGGCTGCAGGAAAGATGGTGAGAAAAGAGGCATGGGGGAGCAGGGCCCTGCTGCAGGCTCCCGGCAGGCAGCAGCGCGGCTCTCTGCTCCCTGGCATGGAGCAAGCTTCCCCTCACTGCCCCCATGGGCAATGGCAGACAGGGAGGCAGGTGTGGTTGAGATCTGCTGTCTTGTGCAGTGGAGAGGAGTGGAGATTGGGACTGGGAGCAGGAACTAGACTGGGAAGCAGGGAAAGCATGGGGTACCAGTGGCTGAGACAGCCCATCATCTGCAGGGTCAGTCTTCAGGAGGCAGGGCTTTCTGGCAAGGGAGAGGGGCAAGAAGTTTCCTCTTTCCCCATGACTGGTGGTACCAACTTTCTAGACTCTGAGTGGACCATGAAGCTGAAGACCATGAAGCTTCTAGACCATGAAGCTGAAGCTTCCCAAGTAGTTTGAGGAAGAAGTAGCTGAGCTGATACCACAAAGGTTCCCATGAGCTGGAACCAGTGTCTCCTGGTACCTGGCAGGGCTGATCTGCTCGAGCAGAGAGTATACTTGTGATGCTCCCACTAAGGGGTATTTAATGGAAATTGCTGGGGAAAGGAGCTAAGGAACCTCTGCAGCCATTGTAGTACAACATCACCTGTGCCAGTGGGGCCAGAGCGGGGCATTCACCACTGCCCACGGTCACAAGCAATCCAGACAGACTGCCACCAGCTCAGATGGACTAGGGACCCCGGGCAGCAGGGGTTCTGTGATGGAGGCTGTGCTTTACACTGGCTGTCAGTCTCAAGATTGGCAGAGGTGACCTCAGGCTGCAGGGCTTTGGTGTGAGGGGTGACTGGTGACAAACGCCAGCAGGTCTAGGTCTGTGTGTGCTGCCCTGCAGCCATCCTCCTTGTGCCCCCAAAACGTTTGGTGTTTATTGTTGCAATGGTCGGGGCCAGGGTCTGGGCTGGGCATGGTCCTGCAGCCTGTGACTTTCCATCTGTCGGTGGCAGGGATGGCCAAGCCAGTGATGTCACCTGCGCTGCTGGGGAGATGCGGTGTCCCCCACGGCCGGTGGCCTTGGTTCATGCAGCCTTGCAGGTCACACCAAGGCTCTGGTGTACCTCGGCATGCGATAGTCTGAGACTTTTATCTTGACATTGTACGTGGGGAGTGTGCCTAAGTGCAGACCCAGCAAGGCCTCTCCGGGTGGGCGCTGGGATGCCTGAGCCTCCTCTGGTGGCCTTGGTTGAAAGGGAGGGAGCAGTGGCTGAACAGCAAGGGTCCAAGTGTGGGACCCTCTCCCTGCCTCTCCACAACAGGACACCCCATGGTGGCAGCCCCAGCGTGGGTCAGAGGCTTGGTGAGTAGGTTATCGCCCCATCTGGGTGGGGAGTGAAGGTGTGCAGGTCGCCCGCTCTTGCTGGGCAGAGGGCTGCAGTCAAAGCAGTCTGTCCCCGCGGCTGTGATGGTGACCCGCAGAGCGTGTGTGTGGGCAGAGCCCTCCAGGGCTGGGGGTGTCCCTCTGGGGCTGGTGGGCCTGGCTGGGGGCAGATGTGGTGCTGGCGAGATGGCGAGGTGGAGCCGGGGCAGCCCTGGGGACTGCAGGGAGGTCGGCTCCTGCGGTGGCAGCCAGACTTTGGCAACTGCAGGTCCAAATCGCCGGGCTTTGCCACGCTGTCGGGTGCGAATGGGCGCCCAGAATGCCACCCCACTTGCCGCAGTCCCATACACCCGACCCTGCAGGCAGGTGCTGCGGGTTGCGGGGCGTCAGCCCCAGGGAGATGTAAATGGGCAAATTGCACCTCCCTGGGGGTGCAAGCCCCCTGAAATCCAGCCGCCCAATTCCCCTTGCCCGTCCCACTCCTCCGGAGCCAGCCTCGGCCCCGGGCACAGCCGTGCCTGTCCCTGAGGAGTGCCCGCAGAGGGAGGGGACATGACTCGCCCCCCTCGCAAGGGGCGAGCGAGGCAGGCTCTGCCGGGACCCGAACCGGCGGTATCGCCCGAGGTGGGGCAGAAAGAAGGGCAGGCAGGAAAAGCAGCAGCAGCAAAGGCCGGGGGAGTGGGGGGCGGGGGGCTGCAAACCGCCTGGTGAAAAGGGCCAGATACCACGGTGAGGGGCAGCACGCCCGGAGCCTCGCTAGAGGGAGAGCTCAGCCCTGGAGCTGCGGCTCCGTGGGAGGACCGGGGAGCCCGTAGGGCTGGCAGCCGCCCCAGGAGGAGGATGCGCCGGGAGTCGAACCTTCTTCCCTGCCAGATCGCGGCTGCTAGCGTGTGCTGGAGCGCCGGGGCCCTGCCAACAAGCTCCGCTGTGTTTCTTTATAAGGTCCCTTTTGTTACTGCAGCAGTCGGTGAGCCGGTGCCCCTCCCTCTCCCGAGGCCAGCGCAGGTCTCTCAGCTGGCCTGAGCTCCCAGCTGGCACTGGGCAAACTGGTGAGATGATGCCCTGAGGCCTGGGCCCAGTTTTGGGCCCTGCGGGGTGGATTTGGGGTGTGATGTGGGAGGCTGGGGGTGAGGGCTGAGCAGAGGAAGGAGAGGAGAGCAAGGAGGAAAGGATGGGGTGGGAGCACAGGAGGGGGACAAGGCTAGGGCGCAGGATGAAGACGTCATGCCACAAGCATTGGCACAGCAAGAAATAGGGCACAAGCTGGGAGGGGAATTTTTCCCCAAGTATTTCCTTGTTGAGCTACGAAGGGCAGCAGGAGCCGGGACACAGGACACATCAGCCCTCCACGGCATGGAGGATGGGGGCAGCAGGCAGGGTCCCAGGGCTGGCAGAGCTGCCCACCAAGGCACAGGCGATGGCACATCCCTGTGGGATGCAGCCCCTTGTGTCAGGTGTTAATTCCAGCCCCCAGGTCTGACCCAGAGCCCCTAGGCTGGGCTTTGCCCAAGGGTCCAAGAGATCGAGGTTTCCCTGTGCTGACCCCATGGCATCTGTGTCTCTGAAGGACAAGACAACCCTCCATCCAGCAGGTAAGTAACTGGATTTTAAGGCTCTCAGCTGGCTCCAGAAATTGTTTGGTGGGATTGCAGGCTTGGCCCCTGTCCTCTGCAGGAGTGATTGTGCCCCCCACAGGAGGGGATGGGGAGATGGGGTGATGAAGGACAGGCAGGCATCTCTGGAGAGGACTGGTGCTGCAGGGGAGGCTCTGGAAGTCTGCAGATAAACAAGACTGAGGAGGGGTACAGCTGCCCAAAGTTCAGTTCTACCTGGATCTGGTAGCAGTAACGCTGGCGGATGCCACTGTGGCTGGGTGATTTGAGGACCAGGTTGGACTCCAGAGCTGCCAGAAAGTAGGACCATCCCCGCCTGTGGTTGGAGGCTGGCCTGGCTGACCTTCAAGTGTCCTCCCAGCCCTAACTTCAATTCTGTGAGGAATGAACCAGCCCAGATCTTGGCTGTCATAAATCAAAGTCACTCCACTGAGACTGATGGAGGGAACTGCGTTTATTTAGCTCAGCTAAAGATCCAGTCTGGTACATTCCTAGCAGCAATATTAGGCAGGCTGGGCTCACTTGGCGGAGGCATTGGGCATCTAGCCATGCATGCGGGGCATCGGGAATCGAGGGCAGAGTGCTGCTCTGCTCTATGCGAGTGTCCCTCACAGACTCGGATCAGGCTCCCTGCCCTGTCCTGTCATGATGCAGGATGCAAACCAGCCTCCCATGGGGACCAAGTGGTGCTTGGATTATGGTTGGAGGTTTTGAGTTTCCTACAGCAGGTGTCTCACCTGGAAATGTGTCAGGCAGGCCCTGGACAACCCAGGAGCTCAGCTGAGCACCCCCAGCTGAAACCAATGACCACCCAGCCCAGCCTGTCCCCAGGGATGTCCCTCCTTCCCTGCTCCTGGGGAGCAGGGCGTTGGTGCAGTAAGGGTCCCACCATGCAGAGGCAGTGTGGGAAGGGTCCCTCCATGCAGATACATCCCTGCTGGCAGCCAGGAGCTGGAGGTCAGCCCTCTGGGACAGGCTTTGCTGACCTGGTACCTTATTGCTAACCCACATCCAGGAGAGAAGATTTGTTCCTGGTTCATGGAGAGAACATGGTACAAAGTGAACCTGCTTTGTGGTGGCAAAGTAGAGAAAAGGGTGTCAGGGCTCCTGCAGTGACACACTGCACTGCAGCCAGGGAAGGTGCTGTGGTCTCTCCTGCTGAGCTCCAGGCAGTCAGCCAGAGGAGGAATATTGGGATGAGACAAGGATCCAGCTCAAGGAAAAGAGTGTTTAGCCCCTAGAAGGAACATTTGGGCTCTGGAGAAGCATCTGGCTCCGGAGAAGGAGCGTCTGTGGTGTGGTGGCCCCGAGTAGGGCCGTGGTCCTGCAGCAGCTCCCCAGGGCTGGGAGCACAACGCGGTCCTCATGCTGAGCTGGAGTGGGAGGTGGCTGGTGAAGACCCTCTGTCCCGGGGCAAGCCCTGAGCTGGATCACATGCCTTCCTTGCAGAGACCCCCAGAAGCGCCTCACTGCTGCTGACAGAGGTGCTGGGGACCTTGGCTCTCTGGCAAACACCTCTGAGGTGACATGGGGACCTGTGCTCCCAGCGACATTGGGGGCAGCAGTGGCTGTCTTAGGTGGGTAGCGGCGATGACTCATTTCAGGCATGCTGAGGCTACTTGCATAATACCAACTTTAATCTTTAGTCCTCAAGTGTGGGCCAGCTCTCGGGTTGAAAATGTAACTAATGTAAAAAATATTATCTCAGTGTTTCTTCAAGCCAAACTGAAATGTCACTTTAGAAAGTTCACTAAAAAAAAAACCTACCCTGAGACATTAGCTCATTGGCAAGAAAATTAGCATCACCTCAGTTGCCTCAGACATGGACACAGCTCTTTGCACTGTTCTCCATTTGCTTGAGGATTGGGCTTGCTTTTCTCTCTTTAAGATGCACATTCTCCAAGTCAGCTTGGGCTTTGAGTGGTGACAGATGGGTGCCACGAATGGGGCCCTCCCAGCCTATCCAGGCTGATGGTCCATATTTAACAGCATGAGAGTGACTTGAGTGTTGGAAGAAAACACATTTCATGGCGTGGCTGGGTAGTGCCTCATCCTGAGAGCAAGGTTATGCTTTACTGGTGTAAAACCCCAACTCAGTATGGAGACTTGGTGAGGGAGGGGACAGCAGATCCCGCTCGTAGAGCTGCTTTGAGACCCAGGCTGTGATGCCTGCATGCCCATTGCAAGAAGCATGGCAAGAATTGCAGCCACAGGTTGGGAGCCTGCAGATGTTGAAGGACAAGAGAGGTTTTGTAAATGGCCCCATGCCTGGATGCTCAGCGCTAGGTAGGAAAGCTGAGGACCACAGACTGGGAAGAGAGGTCACAGGAGGAGACTCAGAGCTCTAGGTTTGTCCCTGGAGGCTCCAGGAACTGGCCATGTGAGGGAGGACAACCTCTCAGGCAGGACAGGCAAGGTCCAGAAGGGTATTGGGAGTCTTTAGTGATGGTGGTTGAGAATGAAAAGGTCTTCAGGGGGTGACTCAGCAGCCCCTTGCTCTGGAGGTGCAGTTGGAGCATAGGGAGTGGTGGAGGGGTGCGTTTGAGTTTTGTAGCTCAGCCTGTGGCTGGAAAAGCAGCCTTGGAGTCACTGGGCTGGGAAGGGAACAGTGCCTGTACCCTGTGATAGCAGATAGAGTTTTAGCAAAAAATACAGTCACCACAACCCATGACTGGCAGGTGCCAGTTGCTGGGATGAATTCATCTCCTCTGCTGCTGGGAAGCAAAAAGCCTGTGAGCACTGTCCTTGGCTGAGGGCACAGTGGCTGGAGCTGCCCAAGGAGCTGAAGTGAGGCTGAGGTGTGTGCCCAGCACTGGCCCAGCAGCACTCAGCCTGTCCTGCTGTCAGGCGCTCCCCAGGGCAGCTTTGGCCCTGCCAGACAGTGCAGGCACAGCTAGAGGGCAGCAGGCACCAGGGCCCATGCCAGCGGCACCTTTGGATGCGGCCACCCTATTTTGGGAGGAGGAGACGTTTTACGCAGGTGGGAGGGATTCCCATGGGATGGGGTGTGCTGGGGTGTGCTGGTGATGCGGACAGTGGTGCTGGAAGCCTCCTGCCCAGTGGAGCTCCCCAGAGCAGGCAGACTCAGAGCTGGTGAGCTCCTAGTGACCTTGTGCCCCCTTTTGTGGCTGCTCCCACCAGGGTGGCATGGGGTGACGGACAGGCTCCCTGGGGAGGGCTGGTGCCAAATGGGCACGGATCTGCCCTGGGCCACCCATCCAAGTCTTATGACAATCACTGCCTGGCACTGCCAAGCTCAGTGGTGGGGTGAGCCAGGTGCATCTCCCCAGGGACTTGCAGGCTGTCAGAGCCACTTTCACCAGGGAAGTGTCTGGCCCACAGGTTTGAGCACAGAGCAGCTTCCCCCACTGCACACGGGCTGGGGGTGCTGGGAGGGTGGGAGGAAGGCACCTGAGAGCCCCCCGAGGCATGGGACAGCCTATCAGTGCTGCACAGGGCTCCCTTGGGATGGGCAGCGCTGAGCAGCAAGGAGGCTTGCCCTTCGTGGAAGAAGCGGAGCCTCAAGGAGATTGGCCTGGGTAATTGGCTCAGGAGAGCAGGCCTCTTCAAAGTCAATTAGAGACTTTTAAAAATAAATCAGACTGGAACATTGCGAGGCCTGCCAGAAAATTTGGGCGAGGTCAGAGTTGCTTAACGTTCGTTGTTGATTAGATTCAACCAGCTTTTTGGTTGGGATAACTTCTGTACCGCTGAGTCAGACTGCTTCAGGGGCTAAGCCAAGAGTGTCTCCTAATGTGGCCATTTAAGGCATGATGGGCTGAGAGCTGATGGGCAACCTGAAGAAGACAGTACACCCCACTGTGAGCTGGGAGTCTGGGGGGGAGGTCATTCGTCTTCACCCTCTCTGCCTCAATTTTCCCTTATGTGAAGTGCTTTGAAGTCAGTGGATGGGAAAAAGTGAGTGAAGAAATTCTAGTCATTTTGTCTCGGGCAGAAACTACACTCGAGAGCAGCACAAGGAGTTTGTCCAGGTTAAAAAATTAGTGCAGATCTGTAGGACAGCATGTGATGTGCGTATGTTTCTGCTCCAAGTCTCTGCTACAGCTGAGCTTGGCAAAGCCTGAGCCCACACATGCAGTTTCACAGGCTCAGGGTGGGGGACTTTGGAGCAGTAGTCCTGCCTCTCCACATCCAGTTTGGACATGGGTTTGGGTGCCTTGGTCCAGTCATCAGTCACTGGAGCTGTCCTGTCACCCCACCTCTCCTCCAGCTGCATCCCCAAACCTTCCCTTAGCTCTCAGACCTGACCTCGGACTGTCTCTAACCAGTGTTGTTCATCCTGGGTCCCAGCAGTGAGTAGCTGGTCTCTGAAGCAGGGTGAGGAACCTGCATTTCCCAAGAAGCTGAACAAGGAGAGGATCTGTAGGCAGGCTAACATGGAGTGTCCCTTCCCATTGCAGTGACCACCCCCTGGGCCAGTTGGTTTCAGACTCGGACTCAGAGATGGACAGCGTGGAGCAGCTGGCCCTGGGTAGCACGGACACCCTCTCCAATGGGCACAAGGCTGACCTGGAGGCTGCCAAACGCCTGGCCAAGAGGCTCTACAACCTGGACGGCTTTAAAAAAGCAGATGTGGCCCGCCACTTGGGGAAGAAGTACGTGTGGGTATTCGCAAGGAACATTCTGTTCTGCAAGGGGCCCACCTGTATGTGCAGTACACCCTCAGCTGCTACCTTTGTGGGGCACTGGGCTGGCAGGGCATAGCTGGCAGGACCCCAAAGCCCACTCCCTGTGACTGGTACATCTGTACCAGGTGTTCACTCTGAAGGTCTTAAAACCTAGGAGACGTCCAGGTTTTGGTACCTTCCTACCATGACTGCATCTTGGATGCTTCAGTAAGGTGTTGGGGCAGGGGGATAGCTAGCTGACCTTTTGCGGGCCCTTCCAGCTCTAGCTTCTCCAGTTCCTCTTACATGCCCAGTACTCCCATTGGATCTGTGCATGACTCCTCTGAGTTTCATGGGAGTATGGGGTGTCTCTGTCCTTGGCATGCTTCCCACATCCCTGGGGAGCTCCAAGCCTCCTAGAATCCACCCCACCCCTGTGTGCCTTCGGCTGTCCCCATGGTCTGGTTGATCCCACTCTCGCCACCCCCCACCCCCCACACCCTTTTCTATTTCAGCAACGAGTTCAGCAGGATGGTGGCAGGGGAGTACCTGAAGTTCTTCGTGTTCACGGGGATGAGCCTGGACCAGGCTCTCAGGTCAGGGCTGAGTGCGTGTACATGTGTGCATGTGTGGTGGCCACCCCAGTGGGGTCCCAGCAGACTGTGCCCTCCGCAGTCACACAGAGATCTGCAGGAGCAGGGAGACCCTGTGATTCCCACCTGGGGATCCTCTTACCTCTTAAATAGGGGAGGGTGTTTCCCAAAGTGGTCTCTCAGCCACACAGCAAAGAAAGTGGTCTTAACTCAATGGTCAGTGCAGTCAGGTGACAGTCAGGTTCACCTAGGACTGGAATTCCAGGCCTTGAGCCCAGACCCTCCTGATGTTACGCCCACCTCCTTTCCCGGTGTAGTTCCTGGGGCTGGCTGTAGGTCTCTGCAATGTGCTGGCGGGGTATGGTGCTGTAGGCTTGGAGGGGAGTCCTGCAGCAGGTTGGGAGGGATGTGCAATGGCAGGGCTTCATCCAGCACACAGGGGGGTCTCCAAACCAGAAAGCACAGCTCCACTCCTGTGCAGGGTGGGTTGGAGAAGCTGCTGGTGAGCTTCATGTGTAACCAATGCTGCTGCTGCTTCTTCAGGTCCTTTCTAAAGGAGTTGGCCTTGATGGGAGAGACACAAGAGCGAGAGCGAGTGCTGGCTCATTTTTCCCAGCGCTATTACGAGTGTAATCCCAATGCCATCTCTTCGGAGGGTAAGAAACTGTGCGTGTGTGTGTGTGCGTGTGTGTGCGTTTCAAGCGAGCCCATGCGTTCGTCATCTCGGTGAAGGTGCTCAAACTGAAACCAGAGAGCATGCTGAGAGCCTGTACTGACGCCTTAGGAGACAGCCCCAGTTATTTCCCTCAAATGACAGATGTGTCAGATTTTTTTTATTTTTTTTAAAAACTGCTCCAGTTGGATCATTCATAATTAGGGCTCAACCCATCCTTAATTCTGACCTTGAGCAGATTAGCACAAGAGGCGAAAGAAGGCCCTCCTCACCAAATAGACCACAACCCTCAGACCCTCAGCTCAGGGAATAGCCAGGTGAGAAAACTCGGGTGCCCAGCACTCGGGGAATAACAGACACCCACTTAGTACCGTTTCATGTCTCTGCACCTCTCCTGTGTGCAATCACGTGCTGGGTCTGCTCTGGGCTGGCTCTGGGGCAAGTGAGGTTCATGCTGCCTGGCAGGCAGAGGGCTGTGCCGGTCCCACCTTGCCATGCTAGATGCTCTGCAGGATTAGCCGCAGTATCACTGCCTGGCTGAAGGAGCTGCAGGCTTGGAAGGGAGTTTGTACGCTCAGGTTTGGGACCAGCTTTAATTCAGTGGCCTCCTACCTACTCACCCACACGCTGCCAGCGCTGCGCTGACTGCTGTGTGCCCCGTGTGCCTGGGGTGGGAGGAGCAGGCTCAGGGGGGCTCGGAGCCCCCATGCCCTGCCTGACATGCTGAGGGGCTGGAGCACCAGCTGTGGGGCTGAGCTGGGGGCTCTAATTCCTGTCCTGTGCTTGTGCTGCAGATGGAGCCCACACTCTCACCTGTGCTCTGATGCTACTAAACACAGATCTGCATGGACATGTAAGTTCCCACTGCCATCGGCCCCTTCTCTCTCTGCATTGTCTGACCCCGCTGCCCTGAACCACAGGTGCTGGGGGAAGAGTGAGGACTTGCAAGGACAGAGCCACATGAGCAGGAGGCATGGGACCCTGGTCACCCCTAACATATCTGGGGAGGAGGGAGGAGAAAGGCTGTATGAGAGGCTGGGCTGGCGAAGCCAAGAGTGGGGCTTTGGAGGAGGTGTGCTGAGCTGGAAGATGTGGAGATGGGATGAGGACAGCAAAGTGGACAGGGAGAGAAGGTGGGAGTGAGACTCCAAAACCAGCTCCTATCAGAAGTGGGTAGCACCAACTTAGAAAAAGGAGGCTATTTAAAACTCCTGGAGTCTAGGCAAAGCCAGCAGCAAGCACCTGCAAGCAGCCTCCCTGAGATCTGGCTGGTCTCTCACCCTGCTGCAGAGGTGGGGGATCTGTTCCTGGGCTCTGGGACCTACTCCAGCCAGCATCAGTCCCTGACCCAAAGGTAACCCCCACGTTTCTCTCCCCCTGGCTCCCCCAGAACATTGGGAAGAGAATGTCCTGCTCTGACTTCATTGGCAACTTGGAGGGACTCAACGGAGGCACTGACTTCCCCAAGGAGCTGCTCAAGGTAAATTTGGTCACTCTTCCTGGCCAGCCAAGCAGCAGGAACAAAAGTGAGAGCTTTGGGCAGGATCACATGGATGGCTACGTGGGATGCAATGAATGTGTCCATTCTTATGGAGGAACGGTGTTGGTCCCTTGGCTCGCAGTTTTCCTCCTGCCTTACTGAGGGGAATGTGGGCTGCCCCATTCCCCCAGGAGGATGCTGGAGCTCCAGCTGGGGTCCTGATTCCCTTGCTGCTCTTGCTGTGCCTGCATCGCAGGCAAGGGGGCACATGTAGGGGCAGCTTACTAGGGTTGGTTTGCCCAGCTGCAGCCAGAGGCTTTGTGGTGTCAGCCCCGTGGTACTCAGCTCTTCCTGGCTCCCTGGAGCACTGGACCCCAAAGCTGTGGTCAGGCCCTGGGACTGGAGCCATCTCCGGTGGCAGAGGGAACATTTCCGGTGACATGGGCAAGGCATGGCCATGGGGAGGGTGGGCTGGTGGTTAAAGCCCCAAAGATGGAACTTACCGCACTGGTGTGACTGGGGGACTCCTGCCTTCTCCTTGCGTGACCCAGTTCCCAGCGGGGCTTGGCCAGGACAGGCAGTGTTCAGTGAGCACATTTGGTCTTGGACTGCTGCGCTTCTCTGGCATTGCCTGTTCTCGAGAGGGTTTTCTGAGCTGCTGTCTCCCCGTCTCGGGCCCTGGGAATAGGCTTAGCTCCCATGGACAGCAACCATTGCTGTTGGTGAAGCACTACGGTTGGTAAATACTCATGATGTGGAAGATGGGTTTCCACAGGATGCTGGCGTCACGATGAGGGGAGATAGTCGATGAAAAAAGGCAACAGAGGGTGAAAAACTAAGCTCCCTTCTCAGCCTCTGTGGGTCTATTCCTGGCTACGTCGCTCACCCCATCATTAAGGGGTTACCAGCAGCTCTCAATAGGGCTGTCCTCCCTCTCGGCCCACGCTTCGCCATGAAAAGGATTTACTCAAGAAAAATTCTCCTCTAATTTTAAACCCAGCTCCAGAAAAGGCTTTAAGCACCCGACATGGAATAGAAGCATCCAAAATGAGGACCCTGAACCCCAGCCCTCCAGTGCTGCTGCACCCTGGAGCATCTGAGTTCTGCAGGCTCCTTGGCGTGCCCCCTTTGCAGCTCCTGGCACTCCACGGTTGGGTAATCGCACTTCAGGCACTGCCCCATCCCCGTTAAAATTCACCCCAAAAAGTACTAGCAGTTTAAACACGTGAGATCAAGTTAGCCCATCAGATCCCAGCCAGTGGGAAATAGGGCAGAGAGGAAGTGCCACGAAGCTACAGCCTTTCTCTCATGGGTAGGGGCCAAGAACTTTGCTGGGTGTAAGGGAGTGGGGGGAGGCTGCAGCACAACCCTGCACAGCTCTGCCTGCAGCCCAGCAGCGGAGAGGCTGCTCTGCTAAAAATGGCCTGTTCCCTCTGCAGCTGCAGTGCTTCCCACCGCTGCTTTTCAGCCGCCTCTGTACAGGAGCCGTGCTGGGGAGGGGGAAGCGAAAGGCAGCATGAGGAACCACATGCAGGGCAGGCTGCAGCTCCTCGTCTGAAGCACCACTCTGCTTCAGGGAGCCCCTGCCCCTGCAAGGGGGAGCAGGGTCCTGGGGTGCGTGAGATGGGAAAAGTGCTGTTGGCCTGTGCTGGGGAGGGGGCTGGCAAGGAGTGGTGCCTGAAGGGGCTCTGCCTCTCCTGGGCAGCCTTTGCCAGGCTCAGCCAGAGAAGACACCCTCTCCCTTCTGCCCACTGCTTTTGGCCGCTTGGTGCTTTGGTCTCCACACAGGCTCAGGGGGCAGCGAAATGGGGAAAGGCTCTCCTGCTGCCCTCCCTGTGTCAGCCTGTGCTAGCCCTGTTACCCCGGGTAGAATGCTGCTTCCTCAGCGGACTTGGCTGGCAGGCCGCGCCTGGGGACTGAGGCTCCTATGCAAGCGTGCGGCACAGCTGGCTGGCTAATTTTAGCGCTCCAGGAGCACATGCATTTCCTAAGGGCAGCAGGGGAGGGGAAGGGCTGGCAGACTTCACAGGAGCTTCCCAAAGCTCAGGCCTGGGTCTTGGGCAGCTCCAGCAGTGCAGAAGAAGGGTCCTGGGGGCTCTTCCAAGCCTGCCTGGGGAGACAGCGCAGGCTGCTACCCCACAGGCTTCAGAGCTGGAGGGCTGAGGGTGGTCCTCACCCACAGCACTTGCCACCAGGGAATGGGGACAGCAGGGCAGGACCTAGGTGGCTGCAGGGGACACAAGGCCACTATCCCCTGTGACTCTGGGAGCAGCATTGGGAACAGACCTGTGGGGAGCCTGGGCACACCCCTTGTCTCTGGCAGAAGGGAGTCCCAAGATAAATGCAGCGTGATGCCTGAGAGCGGGTGGCAGCTTGAGTCAGATAAGAACTTTATCTGCTACTAGATAATACATGTAAACAATCCCAGTTTTATGCAGAAGAAACAAAAACACTTGAAAGCCTGTGCTTTCACAGCTGCGCACCGCGTCCCCCTCACTGGCAGTGCCTTGCTGTGCCCTGCACAGCACTGCTGGTAGAGCTAAGGCAGCGATGCCTTACCGGCACTGCTGCTGGAAACCCTTTTCTCTGGCTCTGAGGGCTCCTCTGGAGAATCGTACTCGGCAGGCAGGGCAGCCCAGCTCTCCATTTCGGGTGTCCTCCCCACCGGGGCAGGGAGCCATGCTGGGGGTATAAGAACCCGTATAACAGCATGCCCGAGGGTGCCCATGTCTGCAGGCTTGGACCTGAACTCCTGTGGCCAAATGAAGGCACCTGTCCACACAGCAAGGAAGGAGGCGAAGCAGGACATCTGGGAGCTGGTGGTATTTTGGTTAGCTCTTGAGATGTTGCTCTTCTCTTGTTGATGTGATTTTAGCCCAGGCCCCCTGGGATTTCACTCACTGTCTGCTATATTTCAAATGTGGATTTGACCTTTACATGATTGATCACTTTGTGGAGCCTTAGTTCTTCCCCACTTTCCTTACTCTTTTAGCTTAACCTTGTGCTTTGCTGGCTGGCAGAAACACAGCATGGCCAAATCAGACCTCATTTCTCCTCAGTGCTGCTTAGCGATTACAGGAGTGAGCCAGATCTGTGCTGCCTTCCAGCCTAGGAGCCCAGAGCACTTCACAGATTTTAATGAATTAAGCTTGACAATGCAGTCAGGTCCCCGGGGGAGGAAGGTAGGATGGGCCCCCACCTTCCAGCTTGGAGGCACAACGGCAAAGCTCAGACGCTCAGAGTGCTGGGTAAGTGATTAGCAATGTGGGAAGAAAGCCCCGGCTCCCACCTCTGAGCTGTAATCACAGGAACGCTTGCTCAGTCTAATCCCGCGGGCTATTTTTTTTTTTTGCCTGTTTCCCCTGGGAGCAATGCACTGCCCTGCCCCTGTCTCCCGTGGCTCCCCCCAGCCTCAGGGGCGGCACAGCACGTCTGATGTGCCAGGCACCCATGCCCCCTCCCTCGCAAGTTTTGCCCAGCGATCACTATGCCAAGCAGTTAGGACAGAGTGGAAAATTTCCGCTTCTCCACTGGCCGCATCTCCTACTCAGTCAAGCCTAACTAAATTACGCATCGATCCTCATGCCTTCTGCAAGGATGCCCAGCCCTCTTCACGGGAACAGCTGCCTGGAGCACCTATGTCCTGCCCTTAACCAGCTGGGCGGCTTCAGCTACTGCTTTTTGTGGCCTGACCTCGAAAGGACGGGCAGGAGGGTTAAGCGTGGGGTAGGCACTGAAGATGGAAGATCTGAGCACATCTCCGCTGGGCCCATCTCCTGCCAGCTCAGCCCTTTGGAGGTCCCTGGTGCGGGCTGGGCTGCCGCAGCAGCTTTGGAGCTTGCCCAGCTGGCACAGAGTGGAGGTGCCGCCTGGCCGCTGGAGCCAGGAGGTGTCACCTCCGCCGCTGCCCCCCAGCCCCGTGAGCCCAGGAGGCTCCAGCCACCTGCTCCCGCTCTCCCTGCTGGGACGGAAAGGAGGCAGGGACGGCCAGCTGGTGCCCCGGGGACAGCTCCGGGGGCATCAGTGCCGGGGACGGTGTCCTACCGGCGCGGGGTGCTGGCCGCTGCCTCCGCGGGCCCGGCTCCACCGCTCGGCCCGGCCCGGCCCGGC